GCCCAGGAGGCCGAGGGGGCTGCGGCCTGGTGTTGGGATGGAGGATGGAGTGGGGAGCGCGCGGGGGGGCGGGGGCGCAGCTACTATTGTATGCTCGAAGTTTAGGGGGGAAAAGCGGCTCTGCTGGCTCGCCTCAATGAGGTTGGGGGGAGACGAGGCCACCCTCAGGTGGGGGGGCTTTTGCGAGGAAGGGGGTGGAGTAAGGGAGGGAGCGGAAAGCAAAGGGAGTCGTTTGAGGCCGGGTGACTGACGGAGAGGCGAGGAGAGAGCGGGAGCGGGACCTCCAGGGGTCCTCCGGCCTCAGGAGGATCCACTCCGGCTGGGCAAAACAGACCCCCACGGAGAGGGATGAGTCCCAGGCCGGTGGGGCGTGCCAGGGGGCAAGGGTTCCCCCCTAGCCTATATAGGGCCCAAAGAGGGCGTGCTCTGTCTGTGGCGGTGGCCGAATGCCAGGCCAAGGGCTGCTACGAGGCTGTAGGTGGAGAAGCCTCAGGTCCCGCTGCTGCCTCTGAAAGAAGGGGGGGGGCATCAGAAGGGCAGTTAGCCCGCTGTTTGGTGCACCGCTGAATCGATCCTTCTTCCGGTGATCTAACAAAGTCATCGCTGGAGCGAACCAGCCTGTCCTCCGAACGTATTAGAGCCCTACCCGCACTTTTTTTGGACCCCTGTTAGGGGCTTGCTCCATGTGGGTTCTTTTCCGCTGGGTGTAATGGCTGGAGACGAACCAAAGTGAGCTTGGGACTGTCAAGTCTGCTGCTGGATATTTCCCATCTGGTGTAAGAAGACAGGCACTTCAGGATTTTGGCAAATTAAGGACTTCCAGGGGAAGGAAGTGATTTTTTTATTTAGTACTGTATGTATTAGAGCAGTGCTAATAGGTTACATTGCCTATCAAAAAATTAAAAAATATAAAACTTCCTCCTGGAAATGGAAGTGGGCAGAAGAAAGCAACAAGGTTTTTTTTTAGTATTCTTTTTATTTAGACTTGCCTTAAAATTTGTGTCAAGAACCAGCCACAGCCAAATCTACCAAGTACCTGCCAGCAGTGGATTCACCTGTTGGGAGGTGCTTGACTCAACTTTTTTTTTTAAAAAAAAAGTCTCAATGAAAAGAGAGAGAAAAATCCCTCTGGTTGTCCCCATCTTCTGCTTCCAGGTAAAAGTTTTTAAAATTTTATATATATAAAAGTGATGCAGCATCACCACTGTCTTAGTAAGTTAAAACACACACACACAAATCACTTCCTCTGCCCTTCCATAGAGCAGGGAAAGTGTTTAATTTGCCAGTATCCTTAAGTGGCTTTCTTCTTAAGCACTTTGCAATATGGGAAATTCCCAGAAAAAGTTGCCAGACCAAATAGCTAATTAAAAAGGTATGGCATTTGGAGGTGAGGATTGCACCAAATGGCATACTGGACATCTACCCAACCCCAAGGAATTCTTTTTAGTCCGCAGCAGCCTCCTCCAAAAGAGACTGTGTAGATAAGCCCCAAGATACTTTGTTTTGATTAGTACTGTTACCAGATGTATTCCTCAGCTGCTTTAGAACAGATGAAGTAAATTATTTTATTTTCATTGAAGTTCTGGGTCCATTTAAAGATGGCCCTAAATCACCTGAAGCAAAATTTAGCAGCTTTTCCTTGGAGCAGGGAAGGGCATAGGTGGGGAAAGAAGGTAAGAATTCATAATAATTCTCAAATTTCTAATCTGAGACAGGTTGGCAGTGACAGAAGTTCTGCCAGTCGAAGAATGTCTGAATCAAAATTCCGGGAGGTGTTGCCCAAGCAAGGTGAGTCCCATGATGAAAAAAACTAGTCAAGAGCTTTGTGTTGCATTAAGGGATAATAAATCTTGATGTAAACTGCAGCCCACTTATTCAGATTCAAGTGCTAAAGGTGCCACAGAACTCTTTGCTGCAACAGATGATATTCTGACAGAAGAGTCATATGAACAAATCAAATTCTTTGTTGTAATTTTCACAACAAATTACTTGCAAATCTCCATCCATCACAAACACGTCCACTTGTCTACAGACTGTTCCTGGGTCTTAAATGGCATGTTAACGTTTTAGATTTCAAGGGCTGAGTGTCACTTCCTCAGTAGCAGGAAAGTAGCAAGAAAGCCTATGGCACCATCACATTTATCGAAGAGTGATTAAGTATACATTTTAATTATGTGCATATTTAATGAGCTTTGAGCTTCAAACAGGACAGGCAGGATTAAATTCACAGTTGGCTGTTATGTTCACAATGATAAGAGAATGAAAACTTTCCTCATATCTTTGTTCTCAGCCAGCACAGTGGCTACTTCCTGCTGTGGTTCGACTTCTGTCACATTTTAGTATCTGCTGTTTCTCCTCCCTCCATCACTGGGACACTGAGGAAATGGGAACACCAAATATTTACTACATTTTATCACTCCCTATTTCCCATCCCAATTCAATCCCTCCTCCACTCTTTGCAACACCTTGTCTGATGAAGCATCTTATGACCCTAAAAGTTTGCATAGTTTTGTGACTCAGGTGAGGGTATTATTATAGATTTGGATTAATAAAGGTGTTATCCCACTATAGATTGATAAAGGTATTATACTGGTATGATTTTGGATAATTTGTGTGTTCATCTCACTTGGTAACACAGGATTCTTTGTTGTACAGTGGTGCCTCGCATTATGACGTTAATTTGTTCCAGTGAAATCACTGTAGAACGAAAACGTCATAATGCAAAATAAAAAAGCCCATAGAAACGCATTAAAACCCGATTAATGCGTTCCTATGGGCTTGAAACTCACCGTCCAGGGAAGATCCTCCATAGCGCAGCCATTTTCGCTGCTCATGCAGCGAGGAATCCATCCCAGAAAAGAGCGGGGAGCAATTTTTTTACCCAGCGGCCATTTTGAAACCGCCAATCAGCTGGCCGAAAATCGTCGTTTTGCAAGAATCGGTTCCCGAAGCAGGGACCCGATCATCGCAAAGAGAAAAATCCCCATTTAAAACATCATAAAGCAATCGCTTTTGCGATCGCAAAAAGTTCATCGTGATGTGATTTCGTCGTTAAATGGGGCGCTCGTCTTGCGAGGCACCACTGTATTTGATACAAGAGAGTAATATGGCTACCCTGCTAGCATTTATTTTCCACCATAATTGTGTGCAGTTTAAGAAACATCTCAAGCCTTAGGTTCATTTTCACCCATCCCTGTTAAAAAGGAATCTAAAAGAGAAAGAGAACTGAAAGAGAAAGTGTGATTTCGTCGTTAAATGGGGCGCTCGTCTTGCGAGGCACCACTGTATTTGATACAAGAGAGTAATATGGCTACCCTGCTAGCATTTATTTTCCACCATAATTGTGTGCAGTTTAAGAAACATCTCAAGCCTTAGGTTCATTTTCACCCATCCCTGTTAAAAAGGAATCTAAAAGAGAAAGAGAACTGAAAGAGAAAGATGCAGTGGTGCCTTGACTTACAGACGTCCCTACTTACAAAAGTTTCAAGTTACGGAAAGCTCCGGCCGCAAAATTTTGGTTTGACTTGCAGCTGGAGCTTCCACTTACAAAAGGAAAAAGGCAGAGGGAAAGGGCGGGAAATTCAAACCGTTGGTGGCTGGCTAAGAGGCTGCTTCTTCACCCCAATGGTTAGGAAAAGGGAGGCTCAGCCTCCCGGGCTTCCCTGCCGCTGCGACTGCGGAGGCAGAGGTGACCCAGTGCTGGGAGGTGTGAGCCTGGCCAGGGTGCTTCGGCCGCTTTCCTCCCGGCTCGCCTCCCGCTCACTCCTCGCTGCCCTCCACCATTTGAATTTCCCGCCATGGACCCATGGAGGTTGACATGGAGCAAGTGGGAGGCAAGCAGCCGAAGAAACCCCCGCCAGCTCAAGCCTCCCAGTGGCGGCAGTCACAGCAGCAGTGGAAGCCTGGGAGGCTTTGGAGGCTTTGGACAGGTAACGTGCTCTTTTTTAAAAAAAGTTGTTCTGGGTGGGTTTTGGAGGGTAGAGGCATTATGTTTCTGTGTTGTTTTGTTTTTGGTGTTTTTTTGTTTGTTTTTTGCAGTCCTAGCGTGGGTCTTGCTCCAATGTTTATTTTTGGATTTGTTTTGTTTTTGCAGTCCCAGCGTGGGACTTGCTCTGTTTATATTTATTTTATTTTTTGTATTTTTTTTTCTTTGGCCGGAACGGATTAATCGGATTTCAGTGCATTCCTATGGGAAATGGTGCTTCAACTTATGAAAATTTCAACCTATGGCCACTGTTCCAATACGGATTAATTCCTTAAGTCGAGGCACCACTTTATGAGAAAAAAATTACATCAGAAAGCCTAAGAAGAGAATCTACAGTTGAAGGAAGGTCTAAGCAGGTAAAGGACAGCTTAGGAAGTCTGGGGAGTTCCTTGCTTGCTCTGCCTCCCACAGACATGCATTTTCTCAAGTGTAAGCTGAGTTGCACCAAGTTACTTCCAACAAATGACCATACTGTACTGGCCTGCATGGTAGATGCTGAGCTCAGAAAAAGAAATTGCAAACACTAACATGGCAATGCAGGGATTTCAAGCCAGCCTGAAGAGCTGGGTATTCAGTGTCATAACCTTGGTTCAATAAATATGTTTGCCCCACATTCTTTTTCTAACCTTTCTTTTGGGAATGGATTTTCTTCCCACTCCTAATATGAGGAAATATGCAAATCATGGTGAATTATTGTAAAAAACATTTAAATATCATTTATCTCTAGTTGCTAAGTTTGTAGTTCACAATTGGGTATAGTAACCCAAAGTAACAATGCCTCTCATTTAGACTGCCTACATCATCTTTTGATCATAGGCTATAGTTTTAATCCCAAGTAAAGTAGAACCATTGAAATACATGAGATTTGTCAAAACTAAAATAAATCCTGTTGATTACCACTTTGGTTGGGATTAAAACTAGATTTTTTTAGTATCACTTTTAAAGGCAGAATGATTCTCTATTAATTTAATATTGTTCAGTCAACATCTTCATTACAGTTTATTTAATTAATCTTAATGTTGTTTTGCATATTTAGAACTTTGCTGCTGCATGTTCCCATTCCTAATTATCTGGATTGTATCCATATTTCCTTAAGCTACTTTTTCAGAGAGTAGAGGCTAGCGTTGCAGAATTGTCATCCGAATGCTATTTCACACAGGGTTCCGCCTTCTGCACTGCTTGTGCAAAGGGAATCCAGTAGCCTCTTGTGCATGCAAAAATCCCCATTGTTTTCAGGGAGGTAATCTCTGTCTTACATAACTGCCTGGTGGAGGTTGCCAAGGCAAACACAGAGACCTTATAGTTCCTATTTGCCAATAGGATTCTAGCTGAAGTACCGTAGTTATCCTTCCTCATGAAAAAATGCAGGCTGTTACCACAAATTAACTTCTCCTGAAAACAGATTTTGCCTATTCATACTTGTAGAATCCATAGAAAAACACATCTGCTGCCACTCTGCAACGTGTAAGAAAATGTTTAAGGGAGGTATTGTGCTTAACAAGTTCTGATATATCAATAGCCTTTTTACATTGCCAGTTCAGATGCCAGGTGCTAAAACTGACTTCCATTTTCTCTGCTGTATAATGGTACACAGTTTCCCACTTATGCAACACAGAGAAGTGGTTTTTTGTTGGCTTCCATGTAGAAACTGTGTTGTCTGATTCAAAAACGTATTATTCATAACAAACTCATTTCTTCTTTTAGGAATGTTGGCAGTAGAAGATGTTACTACTATGGTATTGTGCAAACCCAAGCTGCTCCCTTTAAAATCAGTTACTTTGGAGAAGCTTGAGAAAATGCAACGTGAAGCACAAGAAACTATCCGACAGCAGGAACAACTTGCACAGGAGAGTTCAAAATCTGTATCTGTTGAATAGATCATGCTGATTTTTCCCCTAATACTGCAATAATGTATATAGCAATTCAATGTTCTGTGAACAGTCAGATGAAATAAAACTCATGTTACTAAAGGCATTTTAAAGAAGTTAATTATTGTAGGTACCTATCTGCAGACTGTGCAGCAACCTTGTAAATATGCTTAGGTAAGTCTTTACAGTATATCAAATAAATCTTTATTAAAAATAAGTGTGTACTAGTTCTGTTTGTTTTTAAGAGTCAAGGTCAACTCTGTCACTTCACCTCTAACATGCCGAGTGCTGTTTTATACTCGCAACTTGGAATAAATCCTTTTGAACACAGTGGCTGAAATACAGTTCCACAACTGTATGCTGTAGAAAGCTGATGTCATGCTCTGTGGCTATTTATTTTTAATCAAATTAAAAGTTTCCTTCCCCACAAAAGTTAAAAGGCTCTTTTAGGATTCCCTTTGTCCTGAGGAAGCCTTTATGGTGTGCAGGGGGAGGGAGTCTTTAATGTCAAAAAATTGCCACTCCCAGTTTTGTTCCCAGTCTCGGCCATGGCAATTTTTGGACAATAAAACTCCCCCCTCCCATTTCATGGTCCCCAAAGGCTTCCGTGGGATGGTGGGAATCCTAAGGTAGCCTTGTAACCTTTGGCAGGGGAGGGGATTGACTCTTTATTAGCCAAAAAAAAAAAAAAAAATCACAGTCAATGGTATCCGTCTTGTGTAGCAGAAAGTTACACAGTAGATTTCAGCCAGTGGGTCTTTTGAGTGAACATGTACATCCTGAATTATTATTATTTTTTTGTAAATCTGAATAATTAACAAATGCATTTGTGCATTGTTAAATTACGTTATATTAACACTAAGGGATTAAAGAGCACAACAGGAGTGTTAACAGTGACTTAATGAGGATACTTGCTGTTATATTAATATTCCTTTGTAATGGACTTCTTGCAAGATTTTATAACGTGCAACATAGCAGAGCACATTGAATCATTTCTTGTATGAAAAATGAATCCATTCAGTCATTTCTGGACAGTTTTGAAGGTCTTATCAGGTTGGTCCTACTAGACAGATTGCTCCTACAAGGAAAACAAATGCTGATGTCTACATTCTCTGGGCTAAGGGCTGGTGATGACAGGTCTACAGTGGCTTAACTCCTACAAGCAGCAGAATTAAATCCTACTGTCTTATAGACAAATCCCCTCCACGTTTCCCTTTTCAGAACTTGCTATGCAAAGCTGTGTCTGCATTCATATGCATGTTTCCAAGTTAAGTTTAATGTTTGCCATGCCTAATCTACTCATGGAATGGAAAATAAAGCCACTATTTTTCAGGACACATCTTTTTAATCAAGGATTCATTCATCTACATCAGAGGTCTCCAAACTACAGCCCACAGGTCACATCCGGCCTGCCTTGCCTTTTTATCCAGCCCAGTGAAGTCTGTAGGCTCAGGTCGGTTCCCTTCAACCCGTGTGTGCGTGCGTGTTCCTTCAGCTCTCAAAAAGGTGTAAAATATATGGGGCCCTCATGCTGAAAAGTTTGGAGACCCCTGGCTCTTGAGAGTCCCCTGGACTGCAAGGAGAACAAACCTATCAATTCTAAAGGAAATCAAACCTGAATGCTCACTGGAAGGACAGATCCTGAAGCTGAGGCTCCAATACTTTGGCCATCTCATAAGAGAAGACTCATTGGAAAAGACCTTGATGTTAGGAAAGTGTGATGGCAAGAGGAGAAGGGGATGACGTGATGAGATGGTTGGACAGTGTCTTCGAAGCAACCCACATGATTTTGACACAACTACGGTAGGCAGTGGAAGATAGGAGGGCCTGGCGTGCTCTGGTCCATGGGGTCACGAAGAGTCGGACATAACTAAACGACAATGCTTTTTCTGTGGCTATCGGGAGACAAATGAGCCTGGCGTGCTCTGGTCCATGGGGTCACGAAGAGTCAGACATGACTAAACAACTAGACGACAATCTACAGTAGTCATGCTGTCTTGTAGTTAAAACTGAAGTGTTTGAAGCAAACAATAAAAGGGCACTGGTAATGTTTACAACCCGGTTGCAGTGAGGGAGACATACAATAGGTTGAGTAATTTAACACATACACCCAGAGTTTTTCAAAGAAACAAAACAACTACTTCATAAAGTTTATTTGTACAATACATTCTATCCAAACAATTTATTTTTCCAGTTCCATAGGAAAAAATAGATGTTCCAGCCACCATTTGCTGAACTAGTCTTTAAGTCAAAATCAATATGTTCCCCTAGAAGAAAATGAATATATTTTATGATCAACTATATTTAAAGAATATAACTTTTTCTTCTTCACAGCAGCAGCCAAAGTACAGTTTCAGCAGCCTAACAACCGATTTTATAAAGCTTTGTATAAACCAGTGATTTTACTATGGAAGCACTGTCCTTGAAATAAGGGAGTGGCAGGCAGGCATCGATGCAAAACACATGAGATCAAGCATACGGCATTTTCCAAAGAACAACATGTTATCAAATCTCCATACAAATGTAGTTAATTCTTTTAGCCAATGTTAGTTGTAGAGAAAAGAAACTGAACACCAATTTGTAAAACCTTCCGAAGGTATTTGTGCCCCGAAACAATTGGATCTTTCAGAAATAACAACTCTGCATAGCAACTCTTATTACAAAATATATACATAATATATTTCTTTAAGCATCTACAGCTGCAAGAGTTGGTTCATGTATTCAGTAGCTCTCTGTTTTCAGGCGGCCTCCATCTCCTTCACTTACAAAACGCTTCCTTCCCCTAAAATTAAATACACAGTTAAGTTTTCAGCATTGACTATTGTCTTATTTGGCTTTATACTGAATGAAAGTTGGAGAGTTCACCAGTAACAGAAACAAAACTTTTCAACAGACAAATAGCAGTACAGTTAAATCATGCAAGTTGTAGACATTTAGTCTGCTCATATTTTAGAGTTGCTGAGGCTTCCCAGTTCAGCTATAGAATATCCTCGGAAATTATTCTATGCAGATGCGAGCTCGTATGAGATGAACAGAGAAAAGAATAGATGAGAGGAAGATACAAAAGGAAAGAAAGCTGAAAAGTCTGAGAAACACTAATTTGAGATTTCAGAATTAACCCATCACTTCTTGGGCTACCTACACTGCAGTACAAGGGAACAAGGCAACTGCCAACACGGAATAGCTGAACTTGCATTAGTTAGATAAGCATTCTTTGCAATTAAACCTGTGCCACTGTTATTTCTGATATATGGTTTCTTAAATATGTACCTGGAAGGACAGAGGTCTCTTAACTGTTTAGAAATTATTCCAGCACTAAAACATTCCTCTACAAACTGCTCAAGCACAGAGTACGAATGTGGCACATCAAGATTAATGTCTGGGATTTCACGGTAAATTCGTTCATAACCCTGTAACATTAGAATTAGGAGGAAATACTTAGTTATCTCATGATTATGGTTGTAAATGCAAATTAATTTCACTTAAAATGATTCTATTTAAATAATGTTACCTTAAACTTCCCCTTAAAAGAAACATAAAATCATACTGCTGATAGCAATTTTCAAAAATGAGAGGACTTCTCAGTCCTGCCAGCCCCAAAGGCTTCCCCATGATGAAAGGGATTCCAAGAAAATCTTGGAAATATTCAGGGGGAGGAATTCCCAGTTTTTAATTTTTGAAAACCCACTACAGTTAATGTCAGCAGCCTTACGTGGCATTAAGTTACAGTGCTGGATTTCCACCAAAGAAGAAAATCTTTGCCTGAAATCCTGGAAATCCGTGTAAAGAATACTAGGCTAGATAGGCAAATAGTCTGAACTGGTATAACACAGGTTTCTATATTCCTTCTACATTTTTTTAAATCATTGGAAAACCCTCAAACTATAACAAAGCCTAGCTTAGAAGTCTTCTGTTTCCTAATCAGATTAATGTTGATTGGTAACAACAAATTAATGTCATGTATAGAGAGCTCAGTGATCTAGGTATCTGGCTACAGAGCCAGAGGTTGGATGTTTGATTCCCCACTGTGCCTCCCATGTGGCCTTGGACGAGCTGCACAGTCCCAGGGCACCTCCAGAAAAAAATAGTAAACTACTTCTGAGTATTCTCTACTTGGAAAACCAAGAAAAGGGACACCATAAGTCAGAACTGACTTGATGGCACATTATTATTGCCACTATTATAACACCATCAATGAACACTATACATTAAATAAGGATATTCATAAGGAATGCTAAGAAATATACTAGACACACTTACTCTTTTCATTTGGTCCATAGTTAGGACAGCAGTTCTGCAGAGGGATTTTAACAAATTGAGCATCATTTTGAAATTTGTGTCTCCAGTTGATTCCAAAACCATTACAATTGCCTAAAATAAATCCATGAGAACTGGTTGAAAAATTCCTATTTTAAGCAAAGAACAAAACTACAACTGCATTATAGAACAAGACAGAAACTATACAAAGTGAAAGAACAAAATTAAAAATAAACTACAGTAATTACAGCCTCTTCCTCATCTATCAGAAAATATAAAGGGTACTCAAAAGTAACAACTGAATATTCTGTAGTTCTATACACATTAATCACTGAGATATATTTCTATGTTTGGCACAGAAAGAGCATAAGCAACAGGAATATATACAGTGGTGCCTCGCAAGACGATGTTAATTCGTTCCGTGAAAATCGTTGTTAAGCGAAAACATTGTCTTGTGAAACACGTTTTCCCATTGAAATGCATTGAAAACCTGATAATCTGTTCCAATGGGAACAGATTGTCATCGTAAAGCGAAAATTCCCATAGGAAACAGTTAAGTGAAACACGGTTCCCAAGCGAAAACAGCCGTCTAATGAAACAGAGAACATTAAGAGACTCGTATAGTGAAGCAAGACCAAGCTGTCAAAAACATCGTAAAGAGAAAAACAGGGACCTAAAATGTAATCGTCTTGCGAGGCAAGGTCCCTAACATCGTAAAGCGAAAATCGCCCATAGGAAACATTGTTAAACGAAGCGCAAGATTGCTCTGAAAACCTCATCGTAAAGCGAATTCATCATTAAACGAAGCAATCGTCTAGCGAGGTACCACTGTATTTGAACCTAATAAAACAAGTATGAAGCAGAAGAAGACGAGATTTTCTCTTGAAATTAGAGGCAATTGTTTTTCTTCCGTTTAAATTCAAATCAAGAATTGATAGCTGCAAAATTATTGAAGAGAACAACTTCCTTAAAGATGGGCAACAATCGGGCTACAAACAGTACATCCTATGCAAATAAGCTGTTATAAGAAGTATCTTAAATGTATAGACTTGCATTAATAGATATTAAATGCTACCAAAAGAGAACTCTCAGTGTACCTTCCTGCAGAAAAAAAATCACCATGCTCACAGTATTATTTCATACCCTAAGAACTGAACTTCCAGTGACAGCTGTATGATTTATAATATCCCACACACATGCCAAGTATTAATCATGCCTTACTTCATATACAAGTTCATGGTGAAAATGAGGGACCTCTAACTCCTGAAGACAGCGTTCTGCTTCAGAAACGTCTCCTGAAAGAAGATATTCCTTCAACAGCATATCAATCTAGTAGATCAAAAAGACGATACAATATTAGGTTAGATATTAAAATGCATATACTGTACTTCTTTCACAGCAGCAAGAACATACTTATATGTTTTTGTTTCAAATTTAAAATGAGAAAAACTAAATAGAAAAAATATCTTTGAATACAAATAAAAAGCAGTGCAAAGCTAATGTTCTAGCAATGTATTATATGCATTCATATATAACTTGCAACTGCAAAATGTCAGAATTCCCATCACATGGTTTTATTCTCTCTGAAACTGTTCTGTTCAACTATATTTAATATTATAGAAACAGGCAAATACCAATGTTTTCTTTATGTAAGGGTTGCATTAAAATTCTCTTCCTTCATATATTCTGACTTCTTACAATACAAATAATGTACTTCTCTCCAACAAACTCACTAGGAAAAAGAATTATTTCTATACAGAATATGAACATATATTGTTAAAAATGCATGCACCAGATAAATAATCATATTTCATATCATCATATCCATGTATAGTTTTCTAAATTAAACTAGATAATTTTGTTCTTCTTTCTCAATAATGCCTATTTTTTTCTGAAAATGAATCTGTACATTTTTAGGCCAAGGACTTTTCCAACTTTGAGTTCCATGCCCCTATCCACGTAAAACAGACAGCTCTTTGGGGCCCATGACCTGGTCTCTTCTTCCCTTTCCCAAAAGTATGAAGCAGAAAAAGGCATCTAGCAGAGCTTCCACCCATCCATGTAACCTCTCTTTGTAACATGGTGTGGAAGCTGAGTGGTCCTAGTGGGGTCAGAAGGAATGGACAAGTGAAAGAAAGCAGCCAATGCTCCATCCACTGAAGCACTCATGCTGTCTCCACTCTTGCACTCTTAAATAATACCTGAACCCAACAGGGCCATCCTAAGAACATGTGAAGAAACTAATCGGTGGCTGGTCCTTACAGAAGAAACCGCCACTCCTCTTTTTGTTTGCTCTTTCTTTCTGGATGGAAACAAGAAGAACTAAGCCAGACCTGCACAAGGTGCAGTCCGAGGGCCACATACAGCCTGCAAGCCGTTCCTGTCCGGCCCGCGGACAGTTTTGAATATCAAAACCATTTATAGCTTTTTGTCTAAAGTTGATCAGTTGCTTATCTTTAACATGCCATAAAAAAACCTATTTAGTATTTGTGAAGATTAACAAGTTTAAAATAAAAACAATCATAACATCACTGTTTCATTTTATTTTTAAGTAAAGTTGGTTCGGCCCCCGAACACAGTTCAGAGTTTTCATGTGGCCCCCCTATAGAAATTAATTGCCCACCCCTGGACTAAGCCTAAAGAGAACTAGTGAACAAATGAGAAGAGATCACAAATGAACCTTCCACGCTGTTTGTTAGTTTAACCTCTCTGGATCATGAAGCAAGAAGGATTATAGCTAAGGGAAAGGGATGTGACAGACGTAGGGTACACAAAGACATGCTGCTAAGGGACATACATAATCTTGAACCAGTTACCTCTTTAACAAGATGCTTCACAGGCTGTTGCCCACCTCCGAATCCCCACACATTGTCTATGCGTTTCCCACCTTTGGTCATACTTAACAGTACAGTAGCTCGATCCAGAGCAGCCCTATGAAGAGAATGTTGCATGTAAACGTCTCAATAAAATTTGCATACAGGGGCAGTCACTATTCAGCATCAGTACATTCTCTTTGTGAGTGTATAATTTAAGATACACAGCTTGTTTAGAGTTAGAAGAAGGAGCCAAGCCTCTCCCCAATCTCACACACTTCCTACATGGGCAAGGAATTTTAAGCATCTTTTGATTTAGGTTTTCTATTAACTACAGCTTGCCATGTCACGCAAATCTAGATGAGCAATTGAGGGTTCAAACACACTAAATTGTAGATGGCCTAAATGAGAAGGAGCAGCTTTCAGTCTTTCAAAACACAGAGAGTGCACAATGGAAATTCTAAATATGATAAACTAATTTTGCATTATGTCTAAATACAGCCACAGGACAGAAATACATGTCAAAGCTTAAAAGCATGATTGACCCACAAAGGTAGCTACTGCAATTAACAGTGTAATCATCTGCATGTTTATTCTGCAGTAAGCTGTACTGTGTTCAATTGGACTTACTACTTGGTAAAATATTAAACCCAAATGACTTTATATTTAGAAAGATCATATAGCATATTAAGTATTAACTAGTTGGAACATTTTTATTTCTTTCTGTCAATAAACACAAATTATTGTTCATGCATATCAAGAACTAAGAGACTAGAACATTCACATGAGTTTATTTGCCAAAATTCTTCTTCTGGAAAAAGCTATTTCTATTAGCTATTACATAATTATTGGCCAAAATTCTGTTGTGCAGTAACACAAAAGGCATAACTTTTAGTAGTGAACTGCCTTGAGTTACGTAGTCTCTGCAGATCTCTGTTGCATGTTGAATCATATGACTCTGTGCAATTGATAACTTCTAGAACTTACACTTTTTGAGTAACTACATTAGAATAAAAATTTTAACAATGTCTTTAGCTTCTAGTTTTGCCTATCTTAATCTCACAAACCAACAAGACTTCAGAAGTTTTCTGATTTAACATTACCCGTATGCTATTTGTCATGCAACAGCCCTACAATATGCAAGTAGACATAATTGTCTGTATTACATCTTTAACAACTCAAATTTGGTACATGGGAGGGCAACTTCCACAGTTCCAAGGGCCAATTTTATACTCACTCTGGCCATACAGGGCCAACATGAAGTGAAACCAAAAGTAGTAACCCTCTCCCGGATATGAAAAAATGGTATTTGGGGTCCTAAATGGTCCAAGAAGCCCCGTGACTTATTTAGAAGGTGAATTATTACTCCTAGAGGTTTCCAGGGTTTTTTTTTTGTCAAGAAGAGAAAGAGGGGGAAGTTAGAGGCCACAGAAACAACTGAGAAACACATACCTGGTTTAGTAGCACAGCAAGCATCACAGGAGAGTAAAATTTAAGCTTTCCAGAGACTGATCATTTCTATATTTTTATTACTTTGTGTAATGTTTTCCCCTGAATTCTGTGCTTTTAGCTCTCACTACTTTTGTTGGCAAAACGTTCTATACGCAATGCTATGGAGAGGAGGCACACACCATCTTCAGAATTTTGCAATGAAGAATCTATAAGGAACCTAACCTTTGCCCTGTTTTTCATTTTTACAAGTGATTTGGAATGTTTTATTCACTTCACAAAGATGAGAAAGCATTTTTTTAAAACATGTAATTAGTAGATGTAGGGTTTAATTATGAAAGGCAAAGTACACACCGAGCCTGCACACAGTCCACAGTGCCTTTATAAGCATCTATGTAGCTACTGCACAGAATTCCATCTCCAACTGCTCTTGCAATGAATTGGCCCACCAACTGCAATTAAAAAAGGAACATGTCTTACAGAATAAATATGGAATAGTCAGGGTTAGTGACATTATTCACACAAAGTGATGGTAACAGATGGTAAACAGAAGTGGGAACAATTATCTAGAGAACATTGCTATTTTCACTATAAAGGTAAAGATAAAGGTTCCCTTTGACAATTTTTGTCCAGTCGCGTTCGACTCTAGGGGGCAGTGCTCATCCCCGTTTCCAAGCCATAGAGCCAGCGTTTGTCCAAAGACAATCTTCCATGGTCACATGGCCAGCACTGTTACCTTCCCACTATAGCTTCATGAAAAACAATCTAAGTTCAGTTACCACCTCATTTGCCAAAATCTCTCCTGGCAGGTACCTCTGCATCATCCCTGTCCTCAAAATTTAAACATGGGCAGAATTATGCACTGGTAGCTGTCCAGATAGCTCAGTGGTTTAGGTATCTGGCTGCAGAGCTAGAGGCTGGGAGTTCAATTCCACACTGTGCCTCCTGCAAGTAGAGCCAGCCTGTGTGATATTGGGCAAGCTGCACAGTCCCAGGATGCTCTCAGAAGAAGGGAATGGTAAACCTCTTCTGAATACTCTCTACCTAGAAAGCCCTGGAAAGGGTTGCCATAAGTCAGAACTTGACTTGATGGCATAAAATTATTCATTATTATTAACTGGCTTATCTTCTAAATTGCTTCAAATGAGAAATAAAGGTAAAAAGAGAAAAGGCACTTTGTTACTTGCCTGTATGGTAAGAAATCCAGAGCTAAATCTCATTATACAGTGGTGCCTTGACTTACAAACTTAATTGGTTCTGGAACTCCGGACGTAACTCAAAATGGTCATAAGTTGAAGCACCATTTCCCATAGGAATGCAATTAATCCATTCCGGCCAAAGAACCCCCCCCCCCAAATCACCGCAAGACCAACCGGAAATGCGATTAATCCCTTCCGGCCGAAGGGGGGTGAGGAAGAAAAGCAAGTGAAGCGTGCAAGACGCATCGGAAATGCGAATAAAGCAAAGCAAAAAGCAAGCAGATTGTGCAAGACCCATCGGAAATGCAAATAAAGCAAAACAAAAAGCAAGCAGATTGTGCAAGACCCATCGGAAATGGGAGGGGGGGACCCAAAAAGCAAGGAAACCCCCCAAGACCCATCGGAAATGGGGGGAAAACCAAAAAGCAAGGAGACCCCCCCAGACCCATCGGAAATGGGGGGAAATATTAAAAAACAAGCAACCCCCCAAGACCCATCAGAAATGGGGAAAAATACCACACAACAAACCCCCCATCACAGCACAGAAACACCCCGGCCCAAAACCACGCTGTACAACGCACCCAAAACAGTTTTTAAAAAGCAGAAAGCAGTACCTTACTTTACCAGGCAGTCCGAAGCCTCCTCCGATCGCACTCACTCTAACTGTTGAGGCGAAAGAGCTACAAAGAAGCAGCCTCTTCGCCTACCAATGGTTAGCAATTTAATTTCCCGCCTTTTTTCCCTGCCTTTTTCTGTTCATAACTGGAAGCTCCGGCCGCAAGTCGAAGCAAAATTTTGCAGCTGGAGCTGGTCATAATTTGAAATGGTTGTCAGGACATTCATAAGTCAAGGCACCACTGTAGTTATAAACTCAATAGCCAACCTTAATAAAGTTCTGACATTTTCCATCTGTAATACAGGGCTCAGTCACTCTACCTCACATTGCTGATGTAAGGACTGGCGCAACAATGTGCTTTACTGAAGGAACACTAAATGCAGATTTAATACACACTTATGTGGAGTCCTATGGAGAAAAACTGCATGGACAATTGGAATCAGGGCAAGAAAAAGGGCAAGCAGGAACAAGGTACACACCTTGTTTTCCAATCTCAAATGGGTCCATCTTTTTCATACTAATTTGTAATCTAACTTTTTATCAGTCCTGGCAAAACAGGAAATGCACACTGGTTTGCAAAGCATGAACAATGATAATTTTCTAACTGAACAATCTTTCAACCTGTGTCTTATTAATAATGCTATGCTTTCCCACAGATTTGCTTTTACAAATGATATAGAAGTGAATTAAGATTTGAGATAGGCATAAGAATGTAGATTGCCATTCAAATTTGATTTTATACTACTCACAATATATAATGCCTCATTAATCCAAATGGACTGAGGAACGGAGAAGTGTTCTAGGTGTCAGGGTATTCAAAATTTAACATAAATGAATAGGTAATCCATTCATTTTAACATAAATGAATAGGTAATCCATATCCAGTAGATAAGTGTCATAATAAGGGTATAGCATATCCACAATACTATGAACATGGTGATTAGGGCAAAGATCCAGTTTTGGGACACAGCAACAGCTGGATAACATTGTGTTGTGTTGGGATTTGCCCTCTTAAACTAGATGTCCATTTGGAGGCTTTAACGTTTTAGGAAGTAAAAGTTTAGAAGAGGATTCTACTATGCATTTTCATACCATGAAGTGCTTTAAGGAAAATGTACCACAGAGGAAAAAACAACAGTGATCTCAGGATATTTCAAACAAACCTGTGGTGCTCTGGGAGTGTCCAGTACTAATTCTGGTAGGTCTCTGAGAAGCCGGTCGAATGACTTTTCCACATCACGTCTGCTGACTACTGTTTCATATAAGTCAGCAAGGAGTTTAGAGGTCAGCTCTCTGTGACTGGCCTTCCCCTCTAATGCCAATGATACAGCCAGCACCGGTACACTGTATTTCATTTCACCAAGACTGAGGTCTTTCAGCATCTCCTGTAGTGGGAAAAAAGGCAGCCATTTCAGTTTGTTGTAGCCTGTATCTTATATAGCTGCGACACTGTTACAGTACAGCCAGGAAGAATAATACCCTTCTATACTGGATCATTTCACTACAAACATTTCCTTCTGAGTGTGTTTTCAAGCCAAGTCAGGTCAACCTCTTAAATATTGATTAAGTTCAGAAGTCCCATAACAGGAGGCAGACATCTAGTTTAAAAACATGCTTGGCTTTTAAAGAAGCTATCTATAAGTTCATCTATCATAACCTACCTCTATCTGTATGAAAACTATTTTGTTTCTTAAACTATTCATTTATCGTAATCTAATAAAATTTTCTGTTTATACAGTACCAGCAATTATTCTAAAAACCAGACATTAAAAAGATAATATGAGGTCCTAAATCCACACACAGGAACATGAAAAAAGAAATAAAAAAGAGGGGAGGGTGGAGAACAAAAGAAAAATAACAGTAGAATAGTGGCACTTTAAAAATCAACAGTTTATTTCTGTTTGAACTTTCATGGCTTATATATTTATGAGAAAATGGACTGTAAGCCACAAAAGTTCACACTGAAATGAATGTGTCAATCTGCAAACTGTTACAATACTTCTGCTTTTATTTTTGTTTTGTTTTTAAATTTTGTTTATTGCACATGCTGGAACAGTTTCACTCTGCTACATCTTTGAAAACCTCCTCATAGAGGCTTCCTAAATTTCATTAATCCATGTGAAAAAGCAAATCATGCGACATACCGCAACTTCATTAGTATCCCCATGTTCAAAATATTCCTGGATTATTGGAGTCAGTGTTTTCTCGAATGCTTTTTCATCCAATGGCAGAACTACAGTTTCATAGACACAGTTATCCTGTTTTGAGCAAAAAGCAAATTATTAAATAAAACAAAAATTATCTGGAGCAAGAAATGTAAGCAGAAATGTAGAGCATGAGCAGAAATCATAGTCCTGGCATGTTTAACTTACAGTGGGGTCTTGACTTAAGAACGCCTCGAGTTAAGAACATTTTGACTTAAGAACCACTCTCATAGGAAAATATTGACTTGACTTACATACTTAGATTTGAGTTACAAACTGAAAAAAAAACACGTGGGAGGCAGGGAAAGTGCAAAATTTGAACTTTCAGTTAACTGTTGGCCAGTGAAAAGGGTGCCTGTCTGCTTCCTCACTCCTCCCAGCGTTTAGAGAGTGGATTGGGAGACAGTCTTCAGACTGCCTGGTACTGTACTGCCTGGACTGTATTTTCCCTGCCTTCCCTGAACCTTTCTTGACCTAAGAAAAAAAGAAACAAAATATCCCCCTCTAGTGGTCGAAGGCAGAATAGCAGCTTCCCATTAGTTTCTATGGACGGAAAAGAGCAGATACAGATCAAATGGTTTTCAATGCATTCCTATGGGAAATGCAGATTTGACCTGCAAACTTTTTGACTTGAGAACCGCCTTCCAATACGGATTAAGTTCTCAAGTCAAGACCCCACTGTAACTCAATATTATGGAAAGTACACATGGGCAAGCACCCTACTGAAACTGCACGCAATTTGTAATCATGCCAACAATTAGCATTTGACAGAGTGCCTAGTTCAGAAACGGTTATGCAGCAGTCACCCAAACAAATGCTACAAGCCTCTTTTATGACTATCATTGCATGCACACTGATGTTTCAACAGGATATAGGTCATGGGTGCTGCTATACCCTGTCAAATCTTCAAGTGTAAGTTTTAGAACAGGAAGTTTTTTTAAAAAAATGAAAACTTGGAGCCCTACATAGAATCATATGGCAGCCCTGTGCAAATGCACATCAGTGTTGCAGAAACTTTGCAGGAAAATAACTTACAGAGACTGTTCCTTACCTTGAGCAAATACACGGCAAAGTTTGATGTATTCTTACCTGGTCATCATCATAGTTTGGATCTTTGATATCTACTTCTTCTACATCATACACTTGTCCAGGTGGCCCCCAAACACCTTTGCCTCCTGCACCACCTGTAGAAAAAGAAAAGTGTCATTAATTATGAATGTGAAACTGTATGTTTTGTCTTATTACTTCAATCTTAACATCTGAGGGAAAGCCAGTTCTCAAACGTACAAGAAAGCCACTGAGACAATCAATTTCAAAGCTTGCATTGTTCAACATCCACACAGCCTAACAAAGAAGGCAGGCTATCAATTTTGAAAGTGGGCACCTTCCCTCAGGCTAATTAAAACATATTTAACTTTTAAAACTGTGTCCCTATTAAAATTATCAATATTATTTCACAGATTTTAAAATGGTGAATATTAAATATCCACAGCTATATCAAATATTCCACTGATCTCTTCTGTGATTTTCCTCTTACACCTACCTATAAGAATGAAACTGAAGTACCAAGCAATTCAGGTAGACAAAGCAAAATGAAGATTTACAGAAGTGCAGCTAGTAGGCAGATCTAATAACCTCCTACAAAATGTTATTTTTTTGTTACCATCAAAAGGCACCAACCTTTCTTTGGAAGGCCCCTTCCCTTTCCCAAACGAGATCGTCTATCGAGGTGCTTTCCTTTGGGACTTGTTGGTATGGTGACTCCACTTTTTGGGGGTTCTCCATTGTCACTCACTGAGTCTCCTCGGCCAGAGTCTCTAGAGGAATTTTTTCTCAGCCTCCTCTTTGCTCTGGCATTGATCTTAGCTTCATTAAGAGATACTGAAGGGATCCAATTACCATTTATCTCATTTTTTATTTCCTCGGTGCCACCACTTTCCTCATCACCAGAAAACAGAGTATCACTCAAATTATCTAGTTCTCAAAATACAAAGAAATGTAGAGTTAACTGACATAAGCAGTAATTTTGAAAAGGACAAAAATTTCAAACCCACTAAAGTTAGGTTCACATTCCAATTAACATGCACATGTGCATTTAAGTATGTGTATCATACTATATGGCTCTAAGTTTGAACAAAGTGCCCCCCTTTAACTAAAATAGCTGGGGTGATTAAAAATGGCCCAAAGTACTCAGTCATGCTCTCCAATAATTGCCCAAAGCTTTCAAAACAATCATGACCAAGGTTCCTGATAAGCTAGGCACACATGTGAGCTAACATCTCCACTTCCCTCCGTACAACTCTCTTCCTCCTCCATGCAGCAATTGCGTTAGGTTTTGGTCCTGACAGAACCCAGAGTGCGGGGGTGGGTGGGGGATGGTGCTCACGCGCACATGCAGGACAAAGCCACAAGAGTGAGGCACAGCCCCACCCAGCGGGGCTGAAAATTAGAGGGTACATTGGTCATGACAGAATTTTTAAAGTTATTGACAATGAAAACCAACTGAGCATTTAACCTAACTAAGAAGAAAGTAAGATTCAGAGCTGTACATTTGAGATGGAGTCTGAAATTCTGTTACTTGTGCAGTGGTGCCCCGCATAGTGACGTTAATCCGTTCTGGATTAATCGTTGCTATGCAGAAACATCGCTAAACAGAATGGAAAAAGCCATAGGAACGCATTAAACTTCGTTTAATGCGTTCCTATGGCTCCCAACCTCACCGTTCAGCGAAGTTCCTCCATAGCGCCGCCATTTTTGCGCCCTCGGTGAGCGAAGGCAGGGTACGAAAACACTTGCGGCGGCCATTTTGGGCACCTGGTGGCCATTTTGGAACCGCCGATCAGCTGTTTAAAAAAAATATCGCAATGCGAAGATTGGTAAGAACATCACAATGCGATCACATTAGCGATCTAAAAAAAGATCGCTATGCGGATTTGTCGTTAAATGGTGCGCTCGTTAAGCAAGGCACCACTGTAAATTATAAGTAGAATAGGGCCATTGGCTCACAAAATCGTCACAGATTCAATAAGCCTACTGTACTTGTATTTACTATGCTAATCAACAGGACTTCTGCTGGAGTGTAATAGATTAAGAACTACTAAAACCAAGTTATTAAAAGTCAGGCATATTTATCAGGGCCTAAACGTACATTGCAGACTACTTTACTATGGCAGATAGATGTTTGCGTATGATTCTGAAGTGCATACACTGTTAGCGCTGCAATAATAAATTTGATATTCTTACACTCTATTTCATTTTTGACACAATTTCTGTTGTCTTTTCAGCACACATCTGATAAGGAATACCATTGCTTATGAAAACCCACAATACCCTGACTAACTCCCACATGGCAGTTGTAACATCTGAATCTTGCTCACCATGTATATATGTAGTAGCCCACTAGGTATGTGCATACAACATGGAGAAAACTAATGTAGTGAGGCAAGGCAAGCCGTGTAGGCTAAATATAATTGTTAGCTCCAACCAGCTAAGAGTTATTGAATAACTGGGACTTGTTAAGCTAACACATATACAAGCCCCACTGAGCCAGTGGGTCTATTTGAACTGGACCTAACATATGAATTTGGTTGTACATTCACAATGTATACACTGGCTGAAATCCTGTTCATAGCGTAAGCCTTGGCTTACGGTGTCACCCATTCCTTATGCTTAGATCTGGTAAGCAAAGTGTCGCTGCTGCGATTCTCATGAGTACATGCATGAAGCCAGTATTTGTGCACACAAACCAGTGTGTGCATGTGCTCCTGAGAATCATAGTGGCGGCCATTTGTTTACTAGGGAGGAACAGATGGAAAGTTACCCTTAGGTTTATGCTACAAACAAGATTTCAGCCAATGTGTTGCAATTGCCCAAGCACTGTCGTTTAAGCTAAAACAGGTTTTTACCTGTAGAATTGATATTGTCCGTCTGCTCATTTTCTATTTCCATAGCTGTCCAACGTATTTCAACTGACCTGACTGTAAAGGAAACTTTGTTGTTTTTGTTTCAGACCTAAACATAGGGATATGTCAAAGGAAAGAATTAAAAACTTTCTTGAGCAATTACACCAACTGAAAAAAAATTAAATTATATAGTTTACTGACTTCAAAGGTAAAACTGTAACCAAGTAGCTAGAAAAAGCAACATCGGAAAGTCAACTGACATCTTTAAAACTGACTAGGCTTACATTTGCAGAGACTGCAACTTATCAGTAATAACTCACACAGATCAGGATTCCCTTGCTTTTAAAGGTTTCTTCTTCATATTACAGTATGACTTTTTTAAATACTGAAGTTAATAGTAGTCTATTCTTCTTTCATTCATTGCAATCTGCGCAATTGGCCAATATTACTTTGATAATTCAGAGATATTTGCCTGTTCAAGATCATCTACTAAGCCAGGATTTGAACTAAGGTGAGTTACATACACACATTTCCACACAGCAGTAATCTTTTGGGAAATGTTTTCACCCTGTTAATACAGAGGTCGAATCATAAAGACATTTTACTTATGATTTTATCATAAATGCAGATAATCAACTTCTGGAATTACTACTACCCTTATTCTAATATTCTACTCTAATGCAGTACTTTTAAAAAGCTGGCATTACGGAAATCCCTGATTATTTATTTCAGACAGCATGATGATAATATTTCTCTCCAAGAGAACACAGGACAATAATCTTGAGAAAGTGTATCCTATATAGTCTACATTTTACCTGGTTAACCTGCCTTAATTTTTCAATAATCCGATTACAATCTACAACCAGTATCCTTCCCCCCCTATTTTCTTCCTCTCCCCCACATTCATAAAGCAAACACTATTGTTAAGTGATGAGATTATGACATCAAATATCTTGCATCATACATCACAGCAAAGACTTTCAGCATGACCTCAGCCAATCATTCAGGAGTTATGTAGTGTTCTGAAGCACTTTACCTCTGCAACAGAAGTTCCCTTAGATCTTTCTTAAAAGACAGATGTCTTAAGTGACAGAAGATTGAGAAGTTAATTTCTTTCTCCTGGGCAGAGTATTCCATTACATGTATTTTCTCTTTTTCAGATTCAAAAGGAAAACATACATATGGTCTGTGAAACTATAGTTATGCAAACTTTTTATAAACTAAGATGACTTTTATAAATTGATCATTAAGATCATTAAAATGGACAAGAATAGGACACTCTCAGACAATTACAAAGTGTTTTATTCCAGGCATGACAAAACCCAAAGAAACAGCGTGGCTCTAAAATCAAGGCAAAATGTAGTATAGGCAATTAGGGGCATATACTACACAAGATCTGATGAAATAAAATTACCCAGCTTCTCAAAAAAACCTATCAAAATCATCATTCAGGTCTTTTCCATGTCTGTCTGTTCACCCGCCTTCCTGCCCACCCTCCTACTCCATTGTGCAATGCACTATTCTGGGCAGTTTACAATAATGAATAAAACATATGCTAATAAACTACAAAGAAACAATAAGAATATTCTCAAAGGCTTTCATGGCCGGGATCTGATGGCGAAACATTCGGAAGAAAAACCTCCGGAACACAGCCCAACAGCCCAAAAAACCTACAACAACCAAACAATGAGATTAAAACATTTGGCCGAATAAAACAAATGGCACCAGAGGTAATTCTTTAACAGCAGGACAAGAAGAGTAAAATCAGCCACGGTTAGTGGGGAAAGCCTCCCTGAAAAGCAGCGTTTAGAGCTGCCTCATAAATTTTAAGGGGGGGCAGTTAAGCGTAGCTCCCCTGGGGAGCTGGTTCCACAAAGTTAGTGCCACCATGAAAAAGGCCCTATCTCTTGTGGATGATTCTAAAGCCTACCTTGGGGTGGCTGCCCAGAGAAGCATAGCCTGAGAGGATCTACGGTAGTGAGTTGGGCAGATGACATTGGGGAGAGACATTCCAACAAGTAACATGGTCTGTATTTGTTTGAAACCAGGGATGTTATCAGGAAAAATGCAAAAACACAATTATTTTAGTCAAGGAGAAGGAAAGCTTAGATGGATGATAAAAGAAAAAATTGTTAAGTACAGATGAGAAGCAAAAGTAAAAGGTGACAGAAATAGGGTCAGAATTCTAAATGAGACTTTTCAGCAACTTTCACATAAAGACAAGAACTATTACAATAGTCATTACAAAGAAATAGAAGAGAACGACAAAAGAGGAAAAATTAGATCTCTTCCAGAAAAGCCAGGAAATAGAAGGGAAATTAAAACCTAGTATAGGGATGCTGAAAGAGCAACAGAAGAATATACAATCAAACCAGGATAAAATAAGGTGAAGTTGGAAACAATGTACTGAAGAACTGTACAGAAGAAAACAAGGATGACAGATTCCTTTGAAAAGGAATCCCATGATGAACAACTTACCGGTTTAGAGAGTAACATGAAAGCTGGTCTCAGAGTGCTTGGAAGAAATAAATCATCAGATATAGATGGGATACTGACAGAACTATTTCAAACTGCTGAGACTGAATCTGGGAAAATGCTCCCAAGAACATGCCAACAACATGGAAACCAAAACAACAGTTCATTAGGAATATAATAACATTTATGTTATGTGCTGTCAAGTAGGAGCTGATTTATAGCAACTCTAGCATGGCTTTCAATGTAACTGGGGTATTTAAGAAATGGTTGTACCAGCTCCATCCCCTCAGTGAACTTCCACGGCTGAGCCCAGGTTTCCTAAGTCCTAGTGCATCATTCTATTCACTATACCACACTAGGTCCACTGAATTAATATCCCATGCAAGTGATGCATAGAGGGTTGCTACGTTTATCCCAAACAAAGAAAGACATGCCTGATATTCTGATTGGATTCTAAAAAGGAAGAGGCACTAGAAGTCATATTTGACTATTGGAGCGCACCAAATAATTTCAGAAGAAGATCCATCTGTGTTTCATACACTATAACAAAGCCCTTCACCGAGTTTATCATGAAAAGCTATGGAGTATTCTAAAAGCAATGGGGTACCTCAACATTTGATTGTCCTGATGCACAACCTATGTTCTGAACAAGAAGCCAGTGTTAGGACAGAATAGAGAGAATCCATTCTGTTTCCCATAGGCAAAGGGTGTATTTTCTCTCTCTATCTTTTCAGTTTGTACACAGGACATATCATACTGAAAGGTGAGTGAAAACCTGTGAAAGAAACATAAGTAACTTAAAACATAAAGATGATACCATATTACTGGCAGAAAACAGAAATTACTTGAAATTACTCCTGATGAAGGTGAAAGAAGAAAGCGCAAAAGCAGGACTGCAACAGAACATTAAGATGACAAAAATTGTGACTACACAAAAGTGACATAACTTTAATGTTGACAATGAAGAAAATGAATTTGTTAAAGAGTTTAAATAATAATAACCTTAGAACTGCAGAACTGGAAGGGACCCTATGGCTCATCAAATCCAGCTCGTCAAGGAAGCACAGTGGGGAACTGAACTTCCAACTACAACCAGAGACCTAAAGCAGTGAGCTATGCAGCAGTTCTACTCTGGTTCAATCATGACTTCAAATGGAAACTGCAGGTAAGAAATCAGAAAATGACTGAAACATGGGAGGGCAGCTATGATGGAATTAGAGAATATCATAAAGTGTAAGGATGTGCGTGTTACTGGAGGACAAAGACATCCACACACTTTGTTGGTGTCGCTGTTGTTGTGGTTCCTCCCTTCTACAATACTGTACAATTACAGGAGTGTGTAAATTCACTGTTTCACAAATGCTATTTCAGTACATCAGGGATTAGGCAAATGCACATCTCTTCATGAGATTAAGTTTCTCTATGACAAGCAAACCAAATATATTTCCTACACATCTCTTAGGGCCCCAGAGGTTTCAAAACCTTTGTTCTGATGAAAATCCACTACTCTAGAAATAAACATCTAATTCATGTTGACACAGAGCAACCAAGAGAGAGAAATGTTAACTGTTTTAATAGAACTAACAAATTGACGCAAAGGATTGTGAAACTGACATGAACAGGAAACAGATACTAGAGATTGTGGTTTTTTTGGGGGGGGGTTATCTTGCAAGCAATATTTTTTCCATATGTATGCTCAGAAGCATGTAGAACCCCTATTTACCAGATGTATGAAATACACACATTTCTAATGTGAACAGAAGTGGACATTAAAATACTATAAGTCTTTAAAGTGCCATACCCCTATTTCACTTCCTTTTTGTTCTATTTTGTTTTCTTGTCTGATAAGTGACACACAAAATACCCTGCCATGTGCTGCAAACTATGCTTACTAAACCCACCTCCTTTGACAGCAAATGCAGGCCAAAGGTTACAATAAAATTAGTCAAACATCTGATGAGACACAATTAATGAGAGCCATTACACAGGGACTCCCTGGGCTATGATTTCTGGTAACAGGCACTGAATATCATGTACTCCAGAAGAGCATAATATTTGGAGGACCAGAATGTCAGAATGCAGAAAATCTGTCTTCTGCAGATGATTGCCTAAGTGCAGCACACACTTTAAAAATGAAACAAAAATAACGAAAAGGAAGTGGCCACATAATCACTTGATATATTTGCTGCTAGACCTTTACATATTAAGGTAATCTTGGTTTCAAAAACATGTTAGATTTGGTACTATGCAGACATAGTGGTTCTCCTACAATGAAACACCCTATTGTGTGGCTCAATAGTGAGCAAGCCACAATAAAACATAGGCTAATGCACTGCCTCTTCCATCTCCTTCCATTTTCAATTTTATAGTAACTATGATTTCAAATCATAGGGTTTTCTCCCTAAAGCACAGTTCACATTTTTTAAAAAGCTGCATGAATTCATACATCCTGAGGAATAGGGATACATTTAAAATTATAGGGAAAATGAATTTTCAATCAGTTTGTTTAACAGGAAAAAGAAATGGGGAGGAGGAAGCTTGTAAGACCAAAACCCACTGTGGGTCATTCCGGTAACTGAAAAAAATATGTTTTCCTGTTGTGTCTGAACTAGGCTATTATTGCCTGAAAGAAAG